TATCCTATTATTTTAGGTTTATTGTGTTGCCTTTTTCTCTGACATGATGAGCTATTCCAGATAGGTTGGTTTTCCAGATCTGAATTCTATCTTTTGTTGATGTTTTTGAAAACGTACATATTCTCTGTACGTTTTCAGAGAGACCCATGTCAAAGTCTGTGATTGTTTTTTAAGTTTCATCCTCAGTGATTATCTTTTTTTTTCGTTTATCAAGAATCCCAGATATCCATTGTTAAGGAGGGCTTTTGTGATGTATTTTTCTTCCACCTTCTTGGCATCTTTAGTATTATAAATCTTACACGTTTTTGAAACTATTATGCCTGTTTTTACAGTGTTTGGATGGTTTGAATTATAGTCACGGTATTTACCCGTATCTGTAGGGTTTCTGTAAATTACTGTGGTATACATGTTATGCATCTTAATAACCATCACGTCAAGGAATAGCATCTTGTTATCCTTATTTTTTATTTTTATTTTAAATTGTATTGTGGGTTGTTGCCTGTTCAAGCACTTCATGAATTTTTAAATCTTATCCATATTATTTAGCCATGTTGCAAATATACCATTCACATACTTGAACAGAATCTTGGGGTGTAAAGTGGCTGTTTTGAGGGGATTAACTTCAAAATGTTCCCTCTTGTTTTAGTAAAACTGCGAGTTAGATAGAGTTCTACATTCAAACGTAAGCGTTATCTGTTTTAGTAAACACAAAAGGTCAAAAGCTTTTTAAACTGTGTATTTTCCAAAAACAAAGTTTATTGAGTTGGTCAGTGGTCTTGAATATCGAACATGTGACTCATGTCAGGAATAGGCTGAAAAAGACCAAGCAAACGTATAAAGTATATGCAGTTAGTAAAATCGAGCTCTACTAGACAAAAAGGTAACAAAAGTAATTGCTATTTACACAGACTGACTTATGAAGCTAAATAAGAAAATAAGCATCCTTTTCAGGACAATCATCTGATATATAGCAACACTGATTTTAGTTGTTACTGTAACATTGTTTCGTATCTTTTAATTATATTTTCTGAGTCTATGAAAATTATAACATGAGATAATTATATTGAACTTTTGACCTGTTGTTCACTGTTATTTATAAACCATATAAAATCTTACATGTGCTAAGTTGGAATCAACACAATTTTTAGGAAAGCTAATCCACTAAAATTATAAACTATGATGCTTATAGTGCCTGAAGTTTTGCTGTATATGTATGATAGCATATTAGACTATGACAAAACGTGAATTTTATGTAAGAACACTTAATTGTATAATTAATTTTACCGAAAATATTTGGAATAATCACTTGATTTATAGTTAAAATCTTTTTATGGTTATGTTCAATTGGAAAACTAATAAGTTTAAATGAAGTTTTGAAAGATGTGGAAATAAAATTTCTCGTTTGTAGAAATGAAAGCATTAATTGGTTTAGGCGAACACAAGGTCAAACTTGTATAATCTTGCCATCAGCTGTAATATGATGAAATAGCCTATCCTGTTTATATAAGTGACCACATAATGATCTCCTAACAAAAAGTGGTTTTGACATCAGACAGTCCGAAAGTCTTATGCATAGAACATCAAGTGAATGGTAAATGTTGCTATTCTAAATAATAGTAAAGTTAAAAGTAAATCATTCATATATTATATTTAGTTGCAGCAAAATAAGCGTCCTTTTCAGGACGATAAAAGTATGTCAAGTAAATTATTGGTTATTATAACTGCCACATTAAAATAATGGATAATATGTATGTTATAACAGTTAGTCTCGTTGACTTGTGAAAATGAAACAGCAGGTGTCCTATGGAACATTGTCTGCCTAAAGTTACAATATTCTTAGTTATGATAGCATCTTTGACCCATAGAAACCCTGTAAAAAAGTACGTAAGTGAAATGACATATCTTATTAAAACATAGTTTGTGGATAAAAAAATCTAGTGAAAGTTCATGATATTTAAATACACTTTTTTTCAGGACAATATTGTAAAAATGTATGCTTAAATCTAGAAAGTAAAAACTATAATCAGTATGTTTAATGTGTACTAAGTCATACAAACACGATCGGCTATCTTGTTCATTTTTTATAAAAACATTAGGTGTGGTAAAAACCTTTCATCAGTATGTTAAATGTTAAAATATAGAGACACAAGTAAATGAAAAATAAAATAAGATATATTGAAACCTGCATGTTGTACTATGAGAGTATAGAAACATCTTTGTAAAACATACTCAATTAAATGTAAGTTGAAATCTGTATGCAATCCTGTTAAATGCAAACTGCATTTGTAAGACCATCCATTTATAGAAACACAATCTACCTACCAACGCCATCTGTCTATACAAAGATTATCTTTAGTAACACAATCCATTTTTATAAAATGTCTTTAAGTTAAAACTATAAAGTAACAGGTGTAAAATAAAATATTTTGTCAAGAACGTAGTTATATGGATGGCATAAAGCCAATCTGTTGAAACAGTAAGTTTATTATTAAAATAATTGTTTTACTTGTAACATAATTAAATCTAGACATTAACGTAATAATCACATGTTGAGACACTCTATGATGACATCATACCATTGTGCCCTCTGGTTCCTCTTCGTGGAATTATGACATCATTCTCTCTCCTTCTCCAAAAACTGTCACGAGTGTGTCGCCCTCTGGCGACGTGATGCGTTATCTCTGGGGTAATTACTCATGCATTAAAAGATAAAACTTCCTCATGTGTTAAGAACGATAATCTCACAAGACACAATGATTAGCTTTGACATATCCAGCCTCTTCACTAACGTATCAACCTTTAAAACACTAAAAAAACTTGCAACTCGTTTTCTTAGCAACTTCCGTTGTCATGTCCGCCTGTCATGGCGGCCTAGCAATGCACCCCTAACTACACGTCCTCTGATTCCACTTCGTGGAACATGACGCCATCGGCTTTGCTTATTCTCTCCACTTTCCCACTGCCTGAGGTCGACATGCCCTCTAGCGGTGCGGCGCGCAATTCCTGGAGTAACTACTTGCATGGTGATATCATATCTATGCCAAATACCCAGCTAAAGAGGGGGCGTGGTTAATCTGTGCAATTAACTGCCAAAGAGGGTAGATTTTTGTTCATTTCAGGTAAAGCATAGATGTGTGGGGTAGCGATGTGTAGTGTTAATTATTTGGTTTGAGGAGTTGGTTTTCTATTCTATGTGAGACTTGAACTTCGTGTATTGGCCATCTTCAGCTAGTGTTTCTAGTTTGATGGAGTATTCTTATTTCGCTTTGTCAGTAGGTAGAATTGTTATAATGATGTCTTTCTTCAAGTTTTCTTCAGATTTTCTCGTTCTGGACTGTCAACTTCATTATTTTCAACACTTCTTCTTTCTTCTTTTGGTAGGCGGTAAATTGCGTCTTCTGTGGATGTTGTTATATCTAAGGTAGGTATTCTGTTATATGTTAGTGCGAAGTTTATACCTTTATTTTGTACATTTTCTCCGGACTCTGTTAATGGGCGTTTACTAAAGTTGTTACTGTTCGTTAGGCGTGTCAGTAGTGGTAGGAAGCTTATCGTTTTGGGATTCGATGGGTGACTTAGATTTATTTATGTGTTGTTCTTTAATACGCGCATGTGTTGATACGGTGTTTGAATAGCTCAGCATATCGTCATGAAATTTGTGTTGTCTGTTATATTATCTATTCTCTGATAAATAAATTGTTAATTTTATTCTGTATCTAATAACTATTAATAGAATGATAATTGATTGTATATTGGAGAATGGCTTTACCAAGTTTCTGAACTTGTCTTTGAAATCGTACATAGATAGTTCAACCTTAAGTCTTTTAGAAATTACGTTATGCTGTTTACATTTATAAATCCCTACAATAAAGTTTTAACCCAATATTACACACAGATCGTTATAAAGTGGACTTAATGTATCCAAAACGAACTGTAACCAGACTATTCGAGACCAAATAAAGAATAGTGGCCAGAATATTTTCCGACTTCGTGATATTTTGAGTCAAATGATATTTATTAAGTACACTAATTAAATTTCGTTGCTCATATTTTTGATTTCAGCCTGTTTAGTAAAATATCGGTCTTAACATAATATAAAGATAAAATTATACACTTTTTTTCTGTTTTTTTGGAGCTAACTATACGTATTTAATTGAATAACGTCATTGTTCAGAAAACAAACGTGATACTTTCCAAACGTTTCATTCAGAAACTTGGTTTTTATCGTTTTATTTTTCTTTATCAACAGTTTCGGGTATCCATCGTTACGAAAGATTATTGTGATGTCTTTTTCTTCCACCTTCTTAGCTTTTTCAGTATTGATAATCTTTTTCATTCTTGAAACTTAGGCCAGAATGTACTGTATTCTATGTTTAAAGCTTCATTGCAATTTAATATCATCACTCAGTTTTTCTTCAGAACAGTAGATCAAATTTTGTAAACAAAAAACCCTTGTTACATGAAAAAGAAAAACATTTTCTGCTTTACGAATTCGCCATGGAGTGCAAAATCAGAAATGTGAAGAGTGTGTGTGTATTTTCTTTTTAAACTGAAACAAATTTATTGTGTGTAGCTACGTTTTCTGTTGTCAAATCAATAAAGCTCAAGGCTTGAATGAAAAAAGTCGTGAGTTCCTCGGTTCAATTTGTTTACAACTGTTCTATACTGGAATAACAGAGTATGCTCTAATAAGTGTCCTTCATTACAGACTGACTTCAAAGTTATAACTTCATTTCTAAACTTCTATAAATGTTGAATTAGGCTTATTAGAAGAAAAAGCACGATCAGGCTGAAGGTAATTAGGTTTTGTAAGAGTTTCTACATACTTCATAGTCATGTTTACGTAACTGCTACATGCTCTAATATCTGTTAAGTCTTGGTTTGGTTCTGGGTAAATTAAAACAGAACAAAGAGGTTCTTTGATGATCAAAGAAGTGTGCACTGGATTTGATAAGAATCAACCGTATGTAAACGTAAAGAATTTAATGCATATCTTCACCACTATGTACACAAAGCTATACATGAACATAGAACATATATATTTTGCTGAAACAGCAAAAAGTTATTGGTGCGTACAAACAGACGTATTCAGCAGAGCTTAATTTGATATCTTATAAATACCTTATACTCCGGAGTGAGATGATGAGAAAGGAGCGTGGTTGAACGATAATATTCCATTTACATACGATGGTGGGTTTTGTAATTGCTATAACATGCTTTAAATATTAAAACTTTGATTTGAAAACCAGAACTCTGAACATTAGTTTCTTCGAATTAGGTGCATGGGTTTTTTACACATTAAACTCGATGCTATAATGAACCATGAACAACAGCGGTGTTTTAAGAGCAGAAAAGTTTTCATAAACATTTATATTTAGCAACATGTTTTATTTTTTTTAGTTAAACATTTTATCTTTAGTTGTGTAACAATTTACTCAATTTTACAAATAACGTGATCTTGTCTAACCGGAGTGGAACCCTGTTTTTGTCGTTCTGTCCTTGACAGTATTCAAAAACTCTGTCCTTTAACAACTTGTTTGACTTTAATTGAACGATGTGACACTATTTGATAAAATAAATAAAACTATTGTTTTGACGGAAAATGTCTATACTGTATTTGTATCTTGTATTTATGGCAAAGCTACTAAGGCTATTTGCCGTTGTACCTAATTTTAAACTATTGACTAGAGGGGGCGTAGCCTGTTAGCAGCATCCTACCACCCACCATCCACGCCAAAGGAAATGGGGAATGTTTTATCATATTGCACAGATTCCACCCTGGTTCACTAGCTCCGCAGTACAAAGCTCTAGCACAGGACCAATCAGTGCCCGACAGGAAAAACGTCATAATACATGTAAATAAACTCTTATGCTCCAACAACTGTTGTAGTAGATAAATCTTGATCTGTTGACCAACTACCTAGGCAGCAAAAACTATTGTTACTTTAGTCCAACTACCTAGAATATAGGCAGCAAAAACTATTGTTACTTTAGTCCAACTACCTAGAATATAGGCAGCAAAAACCATTGTTACTTTAGTCCAACTACCTAGAATATAGGCAGCAAAAACCATTGTTATTTTAGTCCAACTACCTAGAATATAGGCAGCAAAAACCATTGTTACTTTACACCAACTATCTAGAATATAGGCAGCAAAAACCATTGTTACTTTAGTCCAACTACCTAGAATATAGGCAGCAAAAACCATTGTTACTTTAAACCTACTACCTAGAATATAGGCAGCAAAAACCATTGTTACTTTAGTCCAACTACCTAGAATATAGGCAGCAAAAACCATTGTTACTTTAGTCCAACTACCTAGAATATAGGCAGTTTGGACTAAAGTAACAATGGTTTTTCTACCTAGAATATAGGCAGCAAAAACCATTGTTACTTTAGTCCAACTACCTAGAATATAGGCAGCAAAAACCATTGTTACTTTAGTCCAACTACCTAGAATATAGGCAGCAAAAACCATTGTTACTTTAAACCTACTACCTAGAATATAGGCAGC